TAGAATAGAATAGAATAGAATAGAATAGAATAGAATAGAATAGAATAAAGGGAAGACAGTAAATGGTGGAAAAAAGAAAATATGGAAGGGAAAAGAGGACAGTAAATGGAATGGAATAGAAAATAGAATAGAATAGAATAGAATAGAATAGAATAGAATAGAATAGAAATGGAATAGATAAGAATAGAATAGAAAGGAATAGAATAGAATAGAATAGAATAGAATAGAATAGAATAGAATACTTTATTGGCCGAGTGTGATTAGACACCCAAGGAATTTGAATTAGACCCACAAGGAGACAATCTTGAGTTCTGCTTGGGTACATGGCCATAAAAACATCTCACCCCATTAAAAAAGAAATAAAAAGAAATTAAATGTGCACCTTGAGTTTGAATGTGAAAACTGGGTCCTCCTCATTTCTTTTTTCTTTTGTGGGTTGGTTTTTCTCTCTAGGCAGGTGGGATTCTTACCTGTTGGACATTTTGCCCTTTGGTGACGTACTCGTTCCCCACTTTGACCCTCGGGTGGCAAAGCCCCTTGAGCAGGTCTGCAGAGTTCAGGGCCATCAGATATGCCGACTTGTCAGCTTCTGCAAGAGCCATAGAAGGGTTTCAGCACAAGCCCCGTCCCTTGGGTTAGGAGATGGGGTGGACAAGTTGGAAAGAACTCAAGTGGTTGACGCCAACTTGATGTAGTTCAAGGCCCAATCCATAAAACATGCTTTTAAGCAGAAAGTGGGCAGGCTGCTGAATTATTATTATTATTATTACCATGTTTCCCCAAAAATAAGACCCTGTATTATATATTTCTTTGCTACCAAAAAAAAGGCACTAGGTCTTATTTTCAGGGGATGTCATCCACTGATTAATTTCACTGGCGCGCATCGCCCCAGCCTCCTTTTTGCTGTCAGCTTTTTCTTCTGCGGCCGGCAAGGCTTTCCTGAAGGCCTCTGCAGCCAATAACAGAGCTCCAGAAGAAACGGGCCAGCCAGGCAGGTGTCGGGGTGTGCGAGGCCAGGCTACAACCGTCCAAAGGCAAGTAGTAGGGCAGCTCCATCCTCCCATCCTCACCCTAGCTTAATTTTTACCCGTCTACTCTGGAGTGGGCGGGATCTTAATTAGGGCTTATTTTGGGGGGGTAGGGCTTATATTGGGTGCACATGTAAAAATCAAGCTAGGACTTACTTTCAAGGTAGGTCGTATTTTGGGGGGAAACAGGGTATTGTTTTTTATACATGTTTTGGAGAACCGAAACATTAAGCTGCATGCCTTAATGTCTATGGAGATTCTCACCATCCAGGTCATCCTTTGCCTTTTAAATGCAGATGGACGGATGAATCTAGTCCTGATGGTTTTGTTCTCCTAGGTCCATGATGGCGCCTATGGCATACGTGCCACAAGTGGCACACAGAGCCATTTGTGCCGGCACGCAAACTGCGGGCAAACTTACCTCACCTCACATGCGTGCGCCTCACAGCTGATTTTTTTTTTTTTTTTTTGGCTGGTTTGAGGCCTTTTTTGGCTTCCCAGAGGTTTGAAAAAAAGCCTCTGCAAGGCTTTTCAGGTCGAATAATACGCCCTTTCATCACTACCTGTAATACCGGAAGTGACGAAACTGGCATATTATTCGACCCGAAATTTCAGGATTACCCATATCCTTTCAATAATTTTATCAAAATTGATAAATTATTTCTCATCGTTGTAATTTTGGGGCCGTGATGATGTCTTCCCCTCACCTTCAGTGCCGTCTGGCTCAGCCTGTTCTTCTCGCTGCTTCTGCTTGAATTTCATGTTCCCGTAGTGCATGATGGCCCCTGTCAGTTTGTAGATGGAATTTTTCTCCTCTTGGGTGAACCCTAAGATGTCAAAGGCACTCTGGGTTTGGAGGGGGGGGGGGGGAAACGGGATGAGTTTTTTTCTCCAAGCTCAACCAAAGGAGCTCACTGTAACTACATAGACAAAAAGGCATTAACCTAATCCTGCGTAGCTTTTTCTCCGGTAATATTGCACTGCTAACTAGAGCATACAAAACATACAGCTCATCTGTCTGGAACCCGCGCTACATATCAGATATTAATACAGTCGAGAAAGTCCAGAAATATTTCACGAGAAGAGTTCTCCACTCCTCTATTCGTAGCAGAATACCTTATGCCACCAGACTTGAAATTTTAGGCTGAGACAACCTAGAACTATGCCACCTTCGGTCCGATCTAAGTATAGTACAGAAAATTATCTATTGCAATGTCCTACCCGTCAATGACTACTTCAGCTTCAACCACAACAATGCAAGAGCACACAATAGATACAAACTGAAGGTAAACCACACCAAACTCGATTGCAGGAAATACAACTTCAGCAACAGAGTGGTCAATGTCCGGAAAACACTACCTGACTCTGTTGTTACATCCTCAAACCCCAAAAACTTTAACCTCAGACTGTCTACTGTTGACCTCACCCCATTCCTAAGAGGTCTGTAAGGGGCGTGCATAAGCACACCAACGTGCCTACCATCCCTGTTCTAATGTTCCTTTTTATTAGTATCCATTTCATGTATTCATAATCATGTTTATACTTATACCTGTTATTTAATACTTGCTTGACAAATAAAATAAATATAAATAAAAAAAATAAAAAAAAAAACCACCAGCTATTCAAATTCCAACAAATAGATCTCTAAACTTGGATTTCTCGGATATAGGTTGGACTACAAGTCCCATGAGCTTGGGGAAAGTTCAGGGTGCAATACCGTAGTTTAAACATCTTGAACTACCTACCTGGACAACATGAAGACCTGTGAACTTCAACTCCCAGAATTCCCCAGCTAGCCACACTGGATGGAGAATTCTGGGAGTTGAAATCCACAAATCTTAAGTCTTCAAGTTGTTGAGGTTCAAAGTTCAATAGTCCGAAACTTCTTGAACAAGGAGTATCCAACCTGAGCAACCTGAAGTCCAGTGTTCTTCAACTCCCAGAATTCCCCAGCTAGCCACACTGGATGGAGAATTCTGGGAGCTGAAGTCCACAAATCTTAAGTGCGGTTCAAGATTCAAACCCATGCTGACTGGGGAATTCTGGGAGTTGAAGTCCATAGGTCTTCAAGTTGTCTAGGTAGGACACCTCTGACTTAGAAGCCAAGTTGGAGAAACACTTAGAATATTACTCACGTCAGTTGCTAACAGTTCCTCAGCATCATCGATGGAAGGTACCGTAGTCTCTCCTTGGGAGATGAAGGCGTAGTCATAAGGATTGTTGGTGACCAACAGCATATCTGGAAAGAGAAGGATGGAAGAAGTCGGGCGGTTACACAACGTGGCCAACCTTCTCTTCCTAAATGGTTATTCCATCAACAGAAGAGGACAAGGGCCGTTCTGAAATGGAAAGGAGGTGTTAGGAATATAAGTCACCTAACAGGTATTTGGGTTAGAAATATATCAACCAGGATAGACATTTTAATACTGTCTCTTTAAGAGCATGCTAAAAACTGCAATTGGGTGTGGTTACTCAAACGGCCATAAGATGGAGCCAGAAACCTGGGTTGTTTTAGTCTTAGTCTGAGTCTCAGAAGAGAGTGTGTCTGAGTGAGTATCTCTGTTTCCTTCTGTTGGAAAGTATTGCCGTTGCTCCATTTTTCCTAATTGACTGATATTACTGGATTTGATGTAAGTCTGATACTGAACTGTTTTTGACACTGGGATTTGATATTTCGATTATCCCTGGATTGAAAAACTGACTGATTTACCTGGGAATGACTTTTGGACTGCTTATTTTGGACTTTGCTTAAACCTTTCTGGAAGTAAAAACCTACATTTACTCTACAGTGTATCTGTGTGCTCTGTGTGTATTATTCCAACACTACTCTCTATACGTCTCCCTGTATGCGCTCATTCTCCTAACGGGGAATTACCTCAACAGGAGGCTTCACCACTGCTGTAAATCTCAAAACAGGTCCCAACCAAACAATGAAAAAAACCTGTCGTGCAAACAATACACTTCAAGGATGCAGAAAGGAGGATGGAAACTAAGAAGTCAACCAAGCTGCCCTTCATTCTTAAGAGAGAAGGTCTGGGTGAGGAGCGTGATCTTCGACCATCACAGCCACCCCCTGCATTTCACAGGCGACACCATTCTAGAGGACAAGTGTCCCCAAAGAGAAGACAAAGTATTGATAGAAGAGGAGGAGGAGGAAGAGGAGGAGGAAGAGGGAGGAGGAAAGCGGGGGACAGTGGGGTCCTTGATGCTCTCTGAGCTTGGTTGTTTTCTTGCAGACGTTTCATGACCCAACTAAGTGACACCATCAGTGCTAGAAAGCAGTGGGATTTGTGGAGTAGAGAAAAAGAGAGGAGTGGGAGGAAGAGAAGGACAAGTAAGAGAAGTGGGGTGGAGGAGGAGGAGGACTGTGGAATCCTCTGAACTTGGTTGTTTTCTTGCAGATGTTTCATGACCCAACTAGGTGACATCATCAGTGCTAGAAGAGAGTGGGGTTTGTGGAGTGAAGGAGAAAAAGAGAGGAGTGGGAGGAAGAGAAGGAGGAGGAGGAGGAGGTGGTAGTGGTGCTGGAGGAGGAGATGATTGTGGAGTCCTCTGAGCTTGGTTGTTTCCTTGCAGATGTTTCGTGACCCAACTGGGTAACATCATCAGTGCTAGAAGGGAGCGGGGCTTGCTCTCCAACAATCAAGCTCAGAGAGCATCCAAGACTCCACAAGATCAGGCACCCTGCAATTCATGTGATATAGAGGATAATCTCCCTTATCAACCAGGTCTATAATGATGGAGACAGATGAACTTCAGACTAAGGGGAGGAGAGTTTATCAAGGCACCAAACAGCCCAGGCAAGTCTTGTTCTTAATGAAGTTGGAAGTGTTCCACCATAATAATGGAATGTGCAGAAATGAATAGATTGACAATGGCAATTAGAGAACAGGAAGAAAAAGATTACTATAAAATTTGGAATTTATTTTATGAATGGCTGGATAGAAGAGTAAGAAATTGAAATATGTAAGTATAGTATAATATATCATAACTGATAAATGACTGAGTTAGACAGAGTAAGAAAATGAATGTGAAATAAACCCTTGAAAGACAATAACTACAATGTTAATGATAATATAATAATTGACAAATGTGATATAAAATACTGATTAGAATGATTATAAGCATAAACAAGTAAGATATGTATGATGATGTTATTATGTGCACAAAATATATGTACCTAACTGACACACTGTTGAACAGAAAGATGGTTTATTTTTTGTTTTTGTTTTTGTTATAAAAATAAAAAACTTTATTATTAAAAAAGGAAGTGTTCCACCACAACTAATTTGAATGAGTGAAGAGAGACTCAATTCAACTCCTACTAGGTCAAGAAGAAGTCACCAGAAGAGAGTAATCCCAAAGGTGCTTTTTCAAGAAAGAACTGGACTTTCTGCTTTTTCTTTTGAAGACATTTTGCTTCTCCTCCAAGAAGCTTCTTCAGCTCTGACTGGATGGTGGGGAATGATTCAATCAGAGCTGAAGAAGCTTCTTGGAGAAGAAGTGAAGCATCTTCGAAAGAAAAAAACCAGAAAGTCCAGTTGCCTCTTGAATAAAAGCACCTTTGGGACAACCTTGACCTGGATGACTGAAGATCTCCATGGACATTTAGAAGAGAGTGTTCAACTCAACGAGACGAAGGCTCATCAACCTAGCCTCAAGGAAGCCTTCCTGACTTCAAAAATACGTGAACTCATCAGATCCGTACAAGGTCAAGATGGAAGAGATGGAGTTTATCGAACTAGTTTGGACGGAATCATCTGATCCTCAAAAACAACGGACCAAAATCTGGGATTACCTGAAAGGAAATTTCAGTGAAATAATAGAAGAATAGAATGGGAATGGAATAGAATATAGAAATAGAAATTAGAATAGAATAGAATAGAATAGAATAGAATAG